GGCCACGTTTATTCGCTAATCAATTTGATAAAAATGAAAATGAAATAACACTAAGTGTTGTTGTCAGCGCGCACGAGTCGGTGTATATTATCTTGATCGTCCTTTTTACGGTTGTCGGTACGACGGTCGGTGAACGAGTTAAATACCGGCGACGGCCGGTCCGCGTCCGTCACGACTTCTCTTCCCGTCCCGCCTTGTGCCTTTGCGGCGTGGCGGGAGGGTCGACTGTCGCGCGGTCGTATCCCGTGGTGGCGGTTGACAAGACCGTAGGCAGGTCGCTGCGGCACCTGTACTTTGTACTGGTTGCCGTTGCGGGCCGTGTCAAACAATTATGTATAAATATATGTAAAATTATTTAATCTATATTGTTTGTAAAAGTAAATAAAGATTGTTTTGTAAATGAAGAAAACTGACTTATCAGTAGTAAAAAATTCATTACAACCTCTACACTATAAGGTTACCTATGGGCTACGTTTCTCGGTAGTTGTCACTTGCCACTCGCCAGTCGGTTTCCGTATTTTATATTATATAGTGTATAAAATACACTTTAGTAATAGTGTGTTTCGATACAAGAGCTGCTAAACTACGGTGTATCAATTATATCAAGTATGTTTTTTTAATTTAATACATTACATTATACACTCATGTGTAAATTAGGGACAGTTTTACCAAACTTATTTTATTTATTTTTAATCTTAGTTAAAATCTCAATTTTAATCGAAATAATATTCTGTTAGTTTCGTTTGCTTATTTTTTTGTAAATTGTAATTTTTTCATAAAGTTTTTTCTTTTTTTTTTATTAAAAATGAGGTATTTTTGATGTTTTGAATAAAAAATATAAAAAAAAATAATATAAWTAATAAATATAACACGATGGTGTTTTCAATCATTTAAATTTTAAAAAATGGTATATTCGTTTTACATTTATAATTAAGTATATTTTTTTAGAATGCCTCCAAAAAAACCGTCTGGGGCTGAATTCAAAAAATTAAGAAAGGAACGTGAAGAAAAAGAACGCCCACTAGGAATCAATTTAAAAAACTGGTTATCTACTTCAACTTCATCTGACAATCGTCCATCTGATCAAGTTAACTTTGAAAATATACCAAGTTCTGGCACTTCTTCAACTGTAATAACTTTTAATCATAATATTACTTAGTTTCATAACTGATAATTCTGAGACTGAACCCGAATTACTAGAACCAATTTCAAATAGTCACATAGACTTTTCAGACCCAGCTAAGTGGCCATTAGTAAATGATAAAATACGAGTAGCAATCGACGAGTATGATTTCCACCATAATTATCATAATGATTTATCCAATTATATTTTTCCTGAAGACAATGATTGTAGGCATTTTAGTTCAAAATGGTTGTATAAAAATCTTCCCAACGTAGAAAAAGTAAGACGAAAATGGTTGGTTTATAGTTGTTCAACAGATAAAATTTTTTGTTATCCGTGTGTTTTATTTTCAAAAAGCAGAGTTTCTGCATTCACTGATACAACAAACGGTTATTGTGATTAGAAACATCTAAACCCTAATATATTAGTTCATGAAAATACAATTGCTCACCGACAATGTTATATAGAATGGAAAGAATTAGAAAATCGCATTAAAAAAGGAAAAACAATAGATGAAGATTTTCAAAAAATGATAAAAATTGAAAAACAAAAATGGCGTGATATTTTAAAAGTAGCAATTGATGTCATATTATATTGTGCAAAAAATAATTTGGCACTTCGAGGTAAATCAGGAATAATAGGAGAAAATAACTGTGGCATTTTTTTGAATACTATAGAACTGATAAGTCATTATCATCCACTTTTAGCAGAACATATTTCAACAATGAAATCTAAAAAGGGATCAATAAGTTATTTTTCACCAAAAGTTCTAAACGAAATTATAAATCTTATGGGTGAAAAAGTTCGGAATGAAATCATATAAAAAATAAAAGATGAAAAATATTTTTCCATTATATTTGACTGTACTCCAGATCTTTCCCATAAAGAACAAATGTGTCAGATAATAAGATATTTAGATGTGATTGATAATCAATGTTGTATTAAAGAAWGTTGCATTGATTTCATTGTATCCTAGGAAAAAACTGGTCATGGACTAGCGACCGAAATAATGAATAAAATAAAAAGTGGTGGGTTAAATATTGAAAATTGCAGATGTTTTTTGTAAGCTAAGACTTACATAATATTAACAATCTATTATAACTCATAAACTATAAAGACTCAATTATTTATAAAATATAGCCTTATTATGATTAACATATAAGAATTTTATATTATATACAAATTATATTATCTAAAAAGTAAAAAATAAAACTAAAATAAGCGCTAAAATAAAATTCGCCAATGGCGCCACGGAGGGTAGTTACGGCACTGCAGAGGATGTGGTGTTTTAATTGCCGTTAATATCAATGCTGTCGTCTCACTATTCTAAATAATAATATTGWACAACTATTTGTAAAATTATCTTTTGAATCTTCTGTATTTTTAATTGGCGCTATCTACATTCCACCTTATTCTAATATAAATATTTATAATGATCATACTTATACGGTTAATAGCTTGTCATGTAATTACAATAATGTCAAAGTTATTATATTAGGTGATTTTAATTTACCAGCTATTAAATGGACATTAACTAGTAATGTAGCTGTTCGTCATAAATGGACGGTTTTCGGGAAAAGGGGCATTAGTCAAAAATAGCTACTTTTCAGGAGAAGCATAAATTTTAATAAAATCAAATATTCTTTATCTTTTTTTATTCTGTTTTCATATTTCTTATTGTTATATTTTTATGGATTTTTTAAAGTATTTGAAAAAAATTAAAATAATGTTTTACCTTTTGTTTGATGACTTATTACTATCTGCATGGAAAAATAACTGTAAAATGACTTATGCCCTTTTTCCTATTTTGACTTGTGACCATTTGCTATTTAAAACAACTTCAATTATAACTTATGCTGTTTATCTTGTTTTGCCTTTGACTATTTGCTATTCAAAATACTATAATATAACTGGATTTTCACTGTTTTTATAACTAAAGAAAGTTACTTTACTATCCTTTAATACAAATTAATTAAAATGTTGTTGAGTTATTAATTTATTAATTTCCTAATATTTTCTTCTTATTTTTTCACAATGGATACTTCCCTATTCAATAAAAAACACAATATATGTGATAGTATTGCAACACATAAAATATGAAAAAGATAAACATTGAACTAGAAAATTGAAATCGGTCACTAAACTTAAACGGGTTTCGTTGGGCAGTTCGATTTTCGTCAGCAGAAGAAAAGAAGTTAGGACTTATGAGTTATGACTTATATTTTACGTATGTTATACGTGAAAATAAAATATGATTAATCTGTATTATCATGGTATTATGTTATCATTTATCAAAATAAAAATGATCGATTAGAATCATTAGAGTGTTTACATGTACAAAAATACATCTGACTTTATTTATTAAAACGATTTAATTTGGTTAAACCACATATTCGAGCGTCCTTAAAATAAAAGCGGTTTAAGTAATTAAGGTCGCTTTAACGCGTTTACATGATGCATGATTAAACCGCTTTAGTTTTTAAACCGACCTTAATTGTGCATGTAAACGTAGTAATAGAGACATGTCCGAATATTGTTGTTGATTACTAGCCAGAAATTAAGTAAAACGAATTAAGTAAAACGAAATCAGTCCGTGTACTACCGTCTATGTGTATTGTTGTGTCAATTCCGTGTTATAAACTGTATACAAATATTTTATAAAAATTCAACTATTTATTTTACTTTAATGAACACCATCGTTCATTTTTCTACTGATGTTTGTTGTAATACCTATTATTACATCTATAAATGTAAGATATTTAATAAACAACTGTGAATGGGGACATCACAACTAGCACAAATCAGTAGTGACTCGTCAATTTTAAAGATAGATCAGCATGATTGTCAAAGCGATGCACTACTTATAGCCATGCGAGTAACACACAAGACTCCGGCTCTCTGGGACCGTGGTGAAGAATGTGAACGATTTCGAGG